CAAACCATTCTATGATTCTATGATTCTACTAGGATATGCCAGGATAAACTTCAGTCAAGTCAGGCTTACCTTTGAGAAGCTCAGAATGTGCAACTCACAGGCATGTGAATGAATTATCCCCTAGAATTGTCCAAGATCTACTTATTCACTACTGTCAGGATTAGCATCTTTCTCCCAGAAAGACCAGGGAAAATGAACACTGTGACCATTGATAAACTGTAGGTTAAGCAGACAACAACCAAAACATGACCACAACCCTCAAGCTGAACTTCCACAGACCAACGCTAATTTCGGTCACCTCACCTAAACTGAGAAAGGTGTATAGAGATGGAGAGATTTGTCTGCAGATGTTTAAAAGTAATTCCTCTCAACCAAAAGAAAAATGCGCAACTGTTTCTTTAAACACAGATTATGGTGTTTCTTAAAGAGCACAGTGTCAAGATGACAATTGGGAAGTGCCATGGTTTGTGTTAGGAAGATGCTACAGGCATTTCATAACATCTTCAAACTTTAAGGCAGAAAGTCACATTCCAAAACAAGAGTTTTAACAATCATACATCCAGGTCAGCTGGCCTGACTCTTACAGAAAAAGAAACCTACAAGAAGGACCTGCAGCACACCACATGTCCTCCACAGTCACCAACCCAAGAGATAAAAAGCAAAAATTCCACTAACTTCACTGATAATCTATATTTTAATAAAATTTTTTCGTAATTTACCACCCCCATTACCTACAATGCTAGTTTTAATCAACAGTGAAAAAGAAGAAATAGGATAAACTTGTTAACCCTCATCAACTTCTGCCATTCCAACTCCCCTTCTCTCCCTTACACAGCGACTCTTCCCTTTCCCCCACTCCCGACCTTTCCCTTTTTTCCTCACTCCCTGTATTTCCTCTGCTCTGACAATGCACCATGCACCACGAGCTGACAGATGTGTGTGCTAACAAGTAAGATCTCTGCACCCAGACACCACAACATTCTCACACCTGCTCTGATGGTTCCCAATCGCCGCCTTTGTTGTTCCCTGCCGGAAGCCATCTGAGGTGACATCCAGGGGTTGCTCAGGGACTGCACTCCAACTTATAGCTGTAGAAGAAAGGATTATGAACAAGGGAGATGCTCTCACCACAAAAGCAGAACTTAACAATTCCTTTCGTTCCATGTGTTCACATGATACCATGATGCTTCCCAAAGTAATTCCAACTACTTGCACCAGACAGTGTAATCTTCCTTATTTATTGTGTGCTATTATTTTATTATGTATTGTATACTCTAAATAGTTCTCTCTGTATTTGATAACTGACGTACACCAAATATTTGTTGACTTTACTTGAAAAATGTCATTGCCTAGTAGTCAAATAAAAATAATCTGTTGGAAGAGAGAGCAAGAGCCAACAACCTTATTCTTTACTATTCTGGTTACCTTATTACCATCTTAGCTGGTGAATGCTGAAATGCTGCTGAAATGCTGCATACCATACCTCATAGATTTATAAATAAGTAGAAAAGCATCAGTGGCATGTTAAATGAAACAAAACTGTATGCGTAATCTGTCCCTCCATAGCCTGAAAACAGTTTGTAACTACTTCTGCCGTGAGACATCTTTTGTTTCCTAAATTCTCCCATTTTTCTGTGTTCCTACCAGGCAAAAGAGTTTCACGTGCATTAATTCTAAAGACAATTTTCAGTTTCTCTCCTTCATGATACCATCTTGCCATTCAAGACACCCAAAACCTACACATTATAAAGCATATTATGGCAGCTGAGTATGTTAATCACATTTGTATCGTGATTCAGCTATGTGTTGCAATTGCCATGCTCTCCTAAGTGTAAATGGTACTTGCACTATGATTTAGATACAATGATTTATTGCTCTGCTAAATTAAAATTCTGTGTAATGTCAAACAACATTAACTACATAAAACTGGTATTTTACACTAAAGTTTCCATGTGGGGAGTATCTAAAACCACCTGGTCAGAATCTGATATCCTCTGACAGGGATAAAAACCTACTTAAATATGAAAATCTTTTCTATTCTTTAATTTTTTCATAGCATGAACTTCAAAATACTAAAAAGAACACATTTTTAAGAATACCAGCTGAAATGTTCCTATCAATCATATTTCAATGCTCAGTGTAACAGCCCTGAATTTAGTTTATTCTGATTTTCACCCCTTTAAGAAAAAAAATCAACATAGCATAATTTATATATGCAAAAAAGTGTGATAAAGCATCATTCATCTCTATTTAATAGACTGACCCGAGTAACTGTAGAGAAAGAAAGTCATACACAGGGATTTAGTAGTTGGCTTCAGATCTTTTTTGCAAAGTAAACTGGCACTATTTTTCAGTGATGGATTTTGTTTCCTATCTCACAGAATCAAACTATTTTCCTCCTTCCTGGCACCTGTAAAAAAGCCAATTTAACGAATCTGAATTCCATTCAGGAACCCTTTGTTTCCAGTCTATTTTATCTTCAAGTCTGTTGTAAGAGAGTAACTTCCAGTTCCAGTTAAGCTAGAAAAGTATACAACAGCAGAAGGTAGGCATGTCCAAGCTTAAAGAAACTACTTAACTACTACTCATAACCATACACATATGGTGGCAGTTCCACTGTTAGGTTGGTTTTTTTCCCCCAAAAGAGACCATGTTGCTAAATCACAGCGTGACTTGCATATTCATTCATCACCATGACAAAAAACGCAATGTCCAAGCCCTCTATCAATTAAACCCTCACACTATACTACTCTGTATTCTTTCTACATTCACAGATTTCTGGAGCAGTTACAAGCATAAGTCAGCATGGCAAGTCTTCTGTTCATTACCAAGGAGAATGCAAAACTAACTGAAACAAGAAGCCTTTTGATATTTTGGGGGTTTTTACTGACCTCAGAACTTTTATTTTAGCTGGTTGCTTCCTGTCTTTGTTTAGCCTAGAAATTCTTCATGGCATCAACTAAGTGTTCATTCAGTCTGAAAACTCCCTACAGAGAACTAGAGGCTGAGCTAATTATTATTAATTATTAACAATTAAGTTCTAACCTGAAATTAATTTCTTGCTGTAAGTCACACGTTGCCTCTAGCACTGCCAATGAATGACGTTCCATTTTAGGAAACCACCAAATCCACCTGACTTCTGTTTGAACTTCTGCACACAGTTATGCAACTAGCCCAGGTGAACTCACCTGCACTGCAAGGCACAAGTTTTGTTTTGCTGTTAATTCGAGCTTCCTGAATTGCCTGGCGGCTGTGCTCAAATCGAAGATCCGACTGCAGCAGCTTTACCTTCTGGGCGAGGAAACCAGGTGGTAAACATGAGATGTGCTGACACCTAAAGTAGGCACGGAAAAATGCAAGTGATTTTAAGCCTACTCGTTCCAAACTCGTTCCTACTCGTGCAATTTTCCTCCATAATCTAAACATGTTACTTTTTACATTAAAACTGAATTTAGCATGAGTTATGGAAGAAAGACAAGGAGGCTTGAGTGCATGCTTCCCTTCAAAAAAGCATTTGTTAGAAAAACAAAGCAACCTAGTTTATTGAGACCTTGCCCATCCTAAAAAAATATGACTAACTGATTTTTAAAAAGGTCTAGATAAAAGGTCTAGTTAACCCTCCTAATCGGTGCAGGTAAAATGTGGAGGATAAAGACTGCAATAACCAAAGTGTTTACACAGTCAACCACATTACACTAACAACTGTTTTATGAACCTGGAAGTTCATAATCAAAGACTGAAAAGATACAAGATACAGTTACCGTTCCATGTATAATCTTATCTGTGTTACCTGAAATTACTGCAACGCATTGAATGGGATTAGGATTGTATGAGTAAAAAACTTCAAGTGTTACAGAGTGAGGAAAGCATTATCCAGTAAAGTCCACTGGAGAGATAGCTATAGTTTCCCCTATTAATATACTACGACCTCTTTTATACCCATCCTAGAAGGATGCAAGGCTACGGAGAAAAGGAGTTATTAAACAAAGTCAAACCTTTCAGAGGAACTGGTCTAGTAACTGGCTCTTAACGTGAGAGGTTCAGCTCCCGGGTTTCTTTCTTGCCCTCCTTTCCCTCCACTCTGCCCTGCTCCACTTACTGTCCTTTAAAACTTGCAGATGCCTTTGTTGCACTGAATCAAACTCCTAAGCAAGAAAAATATCCACTTCCAATCCTTTTGTTGCTGGAATAGTTTTCATCAACTTAGAGTTGGGGGGAGCAAGAAAGCCAGTGCACAGCAGATGACTTTCTTCATTTAGCAGCAGTGCACTCCACCTCGCATAAATTTCTCTGAGGTGACAAGTTGTGTTACTAGAATATTGCCCACAGCAGGGAAAAAATTAAACACTGGATGTAGTCCACATCAAAGAAGCAGACAGATTTTTACCACCAGGGATATGCACCTACGCTTGGCACTTCCAGTCTAAGACAACTCAGTCTTTTCCCAGCTGACCAGTGCAAGCTGTCACATGCTAGGTGACACAGTCAACATGACTCTTTCAAGCAGTCTGCTCTCCTGAAGCACATGGTTGTGAGTTTGCTTTTTACTCCCTTCCCTCCCTTTGGAGTCCTGAACCCCACCAATTCCCAGTTGCTGTAACCAAGGCCTCTTTCGACTTTCACATCCTACTGAGACCCTCATTGTTGGCGAGTATGAAGTCCATCAGAGTGCCTTTCCTCTTTGGCTCCTCTCTCTGCCATTTCAATCATTCCTAACGGTGGATCAGGTTCAAAAATTAAACTTCTTTTTATAGTGCAGAGCAGGAGGATGAGAAACAAGTATGTCAAAGCCAGACTTAAGAAGCCACAAATCTCATCCTTTACAGAAGCTGAAGGCCCAGAGTGTCACAGCAGAATTCTGAAGTGCATCCCTCAGAATGCATGAAAATGACAAAAGGTGAGCTTGCACTGCACATGCTAATCAGTGTGAATGGAAGTGGTGGAACAAGCCAGTGAGAGATACTAGCTTGCATACAAGCGTGAAGTGTTCCAGAAGCAAGAAGTTTTGCTCAAGAAGCAACAAAACTAACAACTAATAATAACAGAAACAAGTGCTGACATGAAATCATGACTTTTCAATCTGGTTGCCAGATAGACTCATCTTTCTAAACCTAAACATACTCCACCACACCACAGCAATTTCTGTGCTAGGTCTAGAACTCTGTTTCCACAGGATGCACAGCTCACCTGAAGGCACACGGAACACCCACAACTTTGGAACAGCAGTTTTCAAAAACCTCTACTGAAACGGCCTCACAGTATAGTTTTAAAATTTTAAATGGGATGGACGTATATGCAAATGCAATAACCCAAATATTAACCTCCTGGGAAATTTTAAGTTCAGATCCAAGCTCAGAAAGACAGCAAAAAGTAAACTGGTTTTACTACAATTCCCTTCAAAGTAAGTTTAACATACTGCCTCTTCTACTTGCTGGGAAGTTAGTCTGAAAGGATGGTCTAAATCAGCAAAAGCTTCAGAACTAAGTTAACTTAAAGCTGTTATAAAGGCCTGTAAGGACAACCAGAAAGACAGTGCAAAAGTCTACCTATGCATTTAGTTGGAGTCATTTCAGATTGCCTTTATGATGGATGGATTTGGGAGCGTTTTAATTTAGTATTAGGAATGCTGCTGCAAGACATAAAAGCTACTTTTGCTCAACATAATTCTATAAAAGGAACTGACTACTCAGAATGCCTCTCTGGAGCATGGATAACTGAATAAACTGTAAAGTTCAACTTTATTACACTGATGCGTGTTCTTCCAGCTGCTCTTTCTGCTGGGAAGCTTTTAGAAAAACTCTGGTGGGTGACAGCTTCTCATTGCTGTGTGAGGGGACAACCAATGGGACCGTGAATCTGATGAAAATTCTTTTGTGAATCTTCAAGTCTGATCCACCAGAAGGAGTCACCTTTTCTCCAGACTCCACAGGACCACTTTCTGAAAATGTGAATTTGCAAAAATTAACGTTTTCTGCGCATGACCCTGGAACAAAGCTCTGGTATTCGTGTGACACGTTGACTTCCATAACTCATTGTCTCCATACACACTATTTGTTTCCAAAGGAGAACACTTACCTTTCAATAACTGCTCTGTGCATGGCTTCTTGGCTATATGGACACTTCCCCACTATAATTGCTGACAGATACACTGGATGCTGCAGGAAATGCATCAGAAGAGCTCCTTGACACCCTAACACATTCCAGCGAGCCAGTTTATCACTGCAGGACATTGAGCATGTTCTGTCCCCACGACCTGGCTTCACTCGTAATAACCCCACACGGTGATAGCCTAGCCCAGGTATCCGGGCATCACTCAGCTCTCCGGGCACGCATTTTGCTCCAGTCCTATATACATCTGCTACCTTTGGTCTCCCTAAGCCAGTCTCCTTATTAGCTGTTTGTTTCTCTGCAGAACCTTTACAGCTCTCTGGATTTGTGTCATCTTCTCGTTCCACAGATCCTTGCTGAACAGCCAGGTCTTCAGTGGCTACGGAAAAATAACCATCATCATCAGTTTTCATTCTCTTGATTCTACGATCACTCGCCATTTTCTCTGATTTCCTTTTATCTTCTGGACCCAAATGATCATGATTACTTTTACACTCTGCTAATTGTCCAACAGCATCAGCTCCAGTTGCTGGCTTACAAAGCTGGTTCTCTGGTTCACTCATTGGAATAATAGAAGCATCTCCACCTAGAATAGAAGAAATTATATCAAAATTGGCCAAAACTGCATCTCTTGTGACTGGAACACATCACAGCAGTACTATGATGGTATTACTGCCTTTCACACATCTGCAGTCAGGAAAATTTTAAGTATGAGAACACGCTTGTCAAACAACACTGATATACAATGATGAGTAAGACTTCATTGAAATTTTAGCCAATCTATGTTACATGTTTTGCATTCTACATAAGAAATAATCAAAAAATCAAAATTTAAAACAGAAATCATAAAGCAAAAGGTGTCATTGGCATCTGACAGACCACAGAGCAGTGCTGAAGACTCGGAGAAGAACTAGTCTCATCTAACTAAATGATACAACTCTCAAAAGAATAATTAAAGAATAACCTATCAAATACGGATGTAAATTTTAACCTGTATCACTAAAACAAGCTCAAAACCAGAATTCTGAAGCTCAGTTCAAAGCAAACCAGGCCTGACAAGTATGTGAGAAAAAGGCAGTCAGGAAAATATTGTTGCTATTAAATTTGAAGATAGATGTGGATTCTATTCTGATACGGCATTACTAAAGAAAACCATCATAGTATATTTCAGCAATGCCACCAAAATCACAAAAATGTATGAGCAACTAATTGGCTATATGAAGTACTGACGAGGTGTATTTTGAAAGCACTGTGACCTTCCTGCTCTGCTAACTGACTAGCAGTTGAAGAACTATTCTAACACACTGGTAGGATTGTGATAACATCGAGACTTCCACTAAACTGATAGACCAAGAGGTCTCATTCCTACAATTTGCCAAGAGATCTCATCTTTGTGATGCTGAGGTTGTTTTTTTTTTTAACAAATCAAGAGCATTTTCCTTGACAAAACAAGAAGTTGCACCCATTCCATAAGTTTTGGGTTGGGGGACTGTTTTGTAGGTGGGACTTTTTTGGTTGATTTTTGGGAATTTTATTTTGGTTTTTTGGGGGTTTCTTTATGGCTTTTTTCCCCTGTTTTGTTTTGGTGGTTTGCTGCTTGGTTTTGGTGGGTTTTTGTTTGGTTTGATTGGGTTTTATCTTTGTTTAGTGGTTTGGGATTTTGTGTGTCCCCCAAGTTCAGCTGTAACAGTCATTTTTCTCCTTCTTGGTATCTAGTGCAGTGCTGTGTTTGGGATTCGGTCTGAGAACACTGCTGATAACACACGAATGTTTTTGTTGTTGCTCAGTGCTGCTTACCGCAATCAAGGGCTTTTCAGTCTCATGCTCTCCAGTGAGTTCCCATGCTCTTCCATGGGAACCCAGGAGGAAGCAGAGACAGGACACCTGACCCAAACTACCCAAAGGGGTATTCCGTACCACAGCACATCATGCCCAGGATAGAAACTGGGGGGAGTTACTTGGAAGGCCCAGATCACTGCTCAGGTCAGGCTGGGTATCGGTTGGTGGGTGCTGAGCAATTGTATTGTGCAGCACTTGTGTTCACTGGGGTTTTTTCCCCTTCCTTTTTTAGTTTCATATTCTCTCACCTTGTTATTCCCCTTATCATTATTATTATTGGTGGTAGTAGCAGTGGTTTTGTACTATACATTAGGTTATTGGACTGTTCCTATCGCAACCCACGGGACTTACATTCTTTCCATTCTCCTCCCCATCCCTGCGGGAGCAGGGGGACGAAGAAAAGCGAGGCAGTGAGCGAGCAGCTGTGTGGTGCTGAGTTACCAGCTGGGCTTAAACCACAACAGTGTGGTTGAGGTTATTTTGGATTTTGTTGCAGGGGTTTCTGTGGGGTTTTGTGTTTGATGGGTTGCTGGTTTGGCGTTTGGTTTTGTTGTTTTTTTTTAAAAGGAACTGTGGTAATTGTCAATGATTTTATTATAATTTGAGTCCAAAGAGACAACATGTAAAACAAAGCAATCAGGAGATATGACAGGACCCCTGACAAGTATGTTAGTTTCTGGAAAACAGAACAGTACCTATTATCATCTAAAGAGAAAGTGAAGCATTCCACTATATAAGGAACAACATACCAGATCTACTGCATTCTCACAAATCACATCCAGTGAGATAAAATGCCAAATATATCTGTAGAGGACCAGTCAAGTACACCTTAGGGCACATACTGATAACATGAGTTACTGTCTCACACTCACTCCAGACCAGAGACCAAAGGCAAGGGGCAGAAAAGATTCTGCATGTGGGAGTAATGAACATAGTTAACTCCAGCATACTCACATGGGGTATGACTAGAGAAGAAAATAAATATGACATTTGGTTTGAGTTTCCATTTCCCAGTTTCAGTTCCTGGAATAAAGATACTACATTGCTGATGGGAAGCTGCCAGCCACATCTGATGGAGAAGATACCTGTTAGGCAGAAAGTTTTCATGAAATATTTACTTCAGTTTTGATGCGTGAGAAAACAACAAACTCGAGACACCCGCTAGTGCCTGTTCTTTCCTGATGAAGTCTGTGAGGAGCAAGGAAGTTTTGCTTCTACAGATAGATGGGATCCAACATAATCCATAAACACAAATACATCACTGGAACCTTAGTAACAGTAACTTGACAGGGTCAGATTCAGTGGAGTTAACTGTCTCCTCAAATCACGTATCTGTTCTGTAGCTTTACTATTCTCCTGGCTCAGTTCCTTGAACAAGCTTACCCCACATGAACGAGAGGGCTGTTATGTGGGAAAGAGAAAAAAAGCTACCCTTGACAGTTACACATCAAACCAGCACTGACATCACATAAAATCAGACTGCACTTTGTTCAGAGGCTCCACAACAACAAAGAAGAAACAAGCTTTTGTTAAAGGGCCTTCACACCACCCAAAAGTGTAAAAATTAGGTTAAACTCCTTGTAGCAAAGGGGGGAAAATGTGTTGCCTACACAGAAGTAGTACTGTTCTCTTTGATTACATTCTTATCCCTGAAGCTGCAAAATATGGCTATTTTGCTACAGGTCAAAACACTTTCTTCACAACAACCAACCTCAAGAAGCACTGAGTAACAGCATGTGAACTTCATGCCTCACCTCTGGAAGCTCCTCTTGGCAACAATTTCAGCATGACTGTCATTCAGAACATCACCTGAAGCAACAACCAAATGAGAACAACATGCAACATTACTAAAAAGAAGACAACAAAGCAAACAAAATTTGGCAGATGTCAGTTCTCCAGATTTGTTAGCATGTGAAGGTTTAATATTGGTGTTAGGTTACTGCAAGATATTTGAAATTCCTATCACTACAAAAGGAGGACAATAGCCTACTCAAATGAAGGATAAAACTCTTCATTCTGCAGCAAACCAGAGACTTGTTGAAACACCAAATTTTAACCCTTCTGCTATCTGAAATCCTTTGAGTTGAGTAAACACTGGCTTCTTTCAAAACCTGATTTTTGTTCTTAGTGGTAACTCCTTATGTTCTCAGCTTAAGCATAGCATCCAGAAAATTTTAAGTGTTTGTTAAGCTGTCAGATGAAATCTCTTGTTGCACTATGTACTACAATTTAAGTTACCTTTCTTGTCAATAACACTGATGTTTATCAGGTTTACACATCTCATCTTCAAACTTCCTGCAGTATCTGCCTACTGCAGTATCTAAAGTTAGATATCTAACCTAGAGAAGGTAGGAAGCCCTGTACCTATATATTCACAAACACTCCTCCTCCTTAGTCGCTTTTCAGCATTAGTTACTATGGCTTCTCCCATCTCCTAGGAGAAGGGACAAATATCCTGAACAAAAAAGTGGACTTGCAGAGCAAAATCCTACAATAAATGGTAAGAAATGATACCTGTGAGAAGTCTTGTATCTGTTACATACGTTACTGTACAAATATTCAAAACTATCTAGCTGCAGAACACATGGTAAAGGCAAAGCAGCCTGTTAGTACGTTCCTGGTGTCATCCCTCCCCCAACTCTGCAGTGGCTATTCTGCATCAGACCACAACACAACTGGACGGTCAGAGGCAACATAGGCACAATTATTTCACTTGTGTTTTGGTTTGCTTTTAGTGATGAAGTCTTTGGGCGTGCAGACTCAGGGCCTAAACTACACATTTTCACATATATAAAGTTTATTCACCTTTAAGGCAGCAAGTGCAACAAGCTCCAGGGCAGCCATTCTGGCTGCCTAAACCCCTCTCTTCTTGATGAGGTGAAACCTGCCTGACGCTTCTGCCTCCAAGTCTAAGTCTTGGACATTTGCACCAATTCTATGACACCAGCAAGAAAGAAGGTAGCACAGGAAGTCTGCTCTTATACCAAACTTACCAGTTTTTCTCATTTTGTTTTGACCAATACATTTTGTTCCTGTTCCCATAGCAACAACTTTCTTTGTAACTGAAAAAGGAAACATCATTACTTGAACAAACTGTGACCAGAAGCATTGCTCTCATAAAGTCATTGTGGTAACATACAGAACATTGTGTCAACAGGAAGGTACAGGCAGGCAGGTCATGCAACATTCCAGAAAGGAAACACTATCTCAACAGTCCCAGAAAAAGTCTGGGATCCACAGCAGGAGCACTAACACACGCTTGACATGCTGGGCTACACCCTGCAACACGGGCAGAGGTTCCTCAAACTTGTAAGAAGCAAGTATGGAAATGCCAGCAAGGGAGGTGATGGGGAACTACCACCAACACAGACAGTAGTAATGCAGCCTGTTAACAGAGAGCCAGCTGAGACCTTCTAGGACTCTTTCAAGTAGCAGCTGGACACACTTTTGCAAGGGTTTACATTAGTAATTCGGATCCTCCTGAACTTAATTCTTTGATCTCGGATAATCTGGGAAGAACAGCGCTCCACCATAACCGTCTCTTTCTAGGCAGAAGTGCTGAGAGCTTTTGCCATCACAAAGAGTAAAGCATTTGGGAGGAGACACAAACGGCGCTGGGGTTTTTTTGAAGGTATTAAAAAAAAACCACCGACGGAGCCCCCGCCCGTCCCAGCCCCCACAGCTCAGTCTTACCCTGCACAGTCCCTGGACTAGCAAGAACCTCTCTTTGGGTTGTGGACTCCACTTTGACAACAGCTGCCAGTGACGTCCACTCCCTGCTTGGATCTGGCTTCCCCTGCTTAGGGAGCCTGGTCCGATAGTGCAGGTAACACAGCTCAGCAACTTCATCAGCTGACCACATGGCTCCCGAGGCGAGCTCAGCTTCTGAACGGAACCGGATCCCACCACACCTCCGACTAACCCCCGTCTCCTCAAACTCGTGCTGCATGAGACCGTCCTGCAGCAGACTCCACTGCCCCAGGCCCAGCCGCGCGCCCTTCGCGATGGTTCATAATGAAGAACAGCACATGAAAGGAGGAAATCGTTTT